ATTGATGAGAATTGTTGTTGTTCTCAAAGGCATTTTCAGGCAACTGATCAAAAGAAATTCGAGGACATCTGGGTCATGAACGAAGAACAGGTTAGAGATCTGGTGAAGAAGGTCTGTGATGCCGACAGAATCATCTGTGAACAGCAGTTAGGATTACCATGGGAACCACATGATCTGTAAGTAGATTAGACGTGTGGAGGGGTTACTCAGACTCGAACCCAGTCTCCTCTCCTTTAAAGCGGCGCGCGATGCATCAACACACTAGTCTCGTTGGGCAACGGAAACACAAGAACAGCAGTACAGAAACAAAATATGTCATTTCAATCACCAAAAGGGAAAATATTCATTCATTTATAAATAATTTTGGGCCTTTCTATTATGATACAAGCAAAATAGCCTCTCATCTTTTGAAAATCACTTACTGACATAAGCATATCGCCCGAGAAGGAAAAACTGAAATTTCTGAATGCGGTTTTGATTATGTCGCATACGATTTTCTGAATATTGAAGAAGATTAGGTAATGTTGAAAACGATTTTGAAATCGAAGCCGTTCGAAGTTATCCAAGGCGATTTTTTTTTAATTGAATCGACGTATTGTTCATGTTGCATTCGATTTTCTGATTATCGAAGGGTCTTTGATAATAGCGCATGCGATTATATGATAGTAAAAGCGCTTTGAAAATATTTCATGCGATTCTTTATATTGAAGAAGGTTGTTTGAAAATTTGTAAATTAGCCTGTGTACATCCGTTTTTCACCCCTCCAAAAAATCGATGACAGGCTATGTGTAAATAAATGCATTCAGTATTATCATCAATTTATTATTTGTTTATTGAAAACAGTGAGGTGTTTGATAAACTGCCTGGTCTGAATAAAGGATTAATAGAGAAAGAGCGAGAGCAACAACCATCCGCGACACAGGTCGCACATGACATCATGACAGGAGGTAGGTTGCGTGACGCGTGACTGTCCGCGTGACTGCCATTCTTGATTCTCTTCTCTGTCTACAAAAGGCAGTTTGTCGTGTTTGCCTTGATTCAGCCGCCATTATGCACGCCTGCGGTTGCTAGCCTTCTCTGCCTTGGTCTCTTTCCTTTTAAAAAAGTAACGGGCTCCCTGTGTTATATCAAAACAAACGAGTAGGAGTCTCCTCTCTCGTATTTTTTCCACAGGGAACCCGAAAATGTAAAAAAAAACTGGAAAAGCGAGATGCTTGAGGTCTAGAATATTTTGATTTGATATCATAGTGGTAAAATCCATGTTTTTTTTTTCTAGTTATTACCGATGAAGACACTGTCAGACAGGACCAGAGTGTGGTCAGCGGTAGTATCAAGGACAGCGAAAGTCGCTCACAACCTAAACTACCTGCCAGAGTTATCAAGTCTATACTAGAGCTCGTTTGTGATGAATCGGTGCGTGGACATTTCTAGATTTTTAAAATAACCCCCCTCTCACAACTCCTCCTTCCGGATACAATGGAAAMAACTCGTGCACTTTAAAGATTGTAAATCATTTACATCAAATTTACATCATTTTGGACACTTACATCATATTTACATCAAAATTACAACCTTAAAAGTGCGCGATTTTTTCCAGTGTTCGTATTGCTTTACAAAGGTGGCAGACCCTAGGTAGGACACATGACAAGTGATGGAGAGTACGGCAGGCAAAACAAAGGGTGTTCTACCCCAAGTGCTTTATACGACTGCGTGCCTCTGTCCAACACAGCGGTACAGAGATATAAAAATTAAACTTTTAGTGATTTGAGAGAACATTGAAAAGCAATCTTAACTTTGTGTAAGTGCGCGCTCGCTCCATATTTCACTGTGTTCATGTCAGAGGATGGAGACAGAAAAGCTTTACTTACTTGAGGTATTTTTTATTTTGTAGGGATTTCTTGTAGAATCTAAGTTGAACAAGCTTCTTGCTCCTCTTGACAAAGACGAACAGTCGCTGATGAAACTGGACGCCATTTTTGCGGTAAATAAGCGAAGAATGCAGATACATCAATGTTCATGGATTGAAGACTATTTTCAAAACTTTCACTTTGTTCTTACACTGATTTATTTCCTCTTAAACAATCCCGACAATGTGTCCGTTTTATGTGTTCAAAGACCGCACCCATCATGATGCTATTAAAATTCTAGAAATTGCCTCCCCACATGGTCCCTGTAACACTTGTCCTTGACGGACTGCCATCATATCAGTTTACAAAATAATTCATAGAAACATGTGGGATAGGATTGGAGATCGATCAGAGCATGCGTAATAGAACCAGTGGCCATGAATCACTAATTAGTCATTTGATCAACAGGCCCTTGGCATCGACACGGAAGACGATATCTACGTTCTTGCGCAGTACTTCGTTAAAAATGACCCCGAAAATCCCGAAGAGGCAGACCAGCCAGTTAACGACAAGGAAAAAGATGACGTAAAGATTGCTGATGAGGACAAACCGGAAAAACAGGACAAACAGGAAGTGGAAGGGGAGGACGTTATGTCCGAGAAGTCGTCTGTTAGTACGAGAAAGCAGGAGACTGCCAAGCTGATTCACCCTAATGATGTCGTTGCTGCCTTGAGGACCTTTGTTGAGGATAACCGACAGACGCAAAAGTAAGATTTTTACTACAATTCAGAGAATAGGAAATGTACAGCGACGCCATTTTGTGCAGCAAAGCATGATGGTATTTGTAGTTCTCACATTTTTCACAGACCCTAAGCCAATTTTTAAACTAAAATATGGCAAAAACAAATTGCACACGGTTTAGAAGAGCTGTATGTCCTCCTACTAACAAACTCTTGACATCATAAAACGCCCAACACTTTGTAGTGAAACTACTTGACTTTTGAGCATTTTATCATTTCATGACGTCAAGAGTGTGTCAATAAGAGGGCATTTCCAACTCAATGATTTGTTGAATGGAAAGAAAGTAAAATGAATAAATGGAGGGGTAAATGAATCCCGTATTTCGCTATGACGTCATTTAAATTCACTGAAAACAATGGAGAGTTGAATGGACTATATCTTGTAACTTCGCCTTAAAATTATCGAGTTTTCATGAATAAATAAATGAATAAATTATGTAATACCATTTCATTAATATGTGGATATAAGAATGGTTGGGTGATTGAATTGATGTATGTGAAACCCATCTAAACCTTGATTTTCCTTTTTAGGGATACCAAGCGACATACTGTGAAGGTCGAAGCGGGCTCTACAAAACAAATCGGGTAATGAGATAATGAGCATCGCTTTAATATGATTTACCCTGATTTGAATTAAAAATGATAAGAACATTTTGCGCATTTAAAAGTTTTCAGCGCTGTATTGACCGTTTCCGAATTCTCTATACCAAAATCTTTTTCATCGSCATTTCATTCGCCTTCGTAGTCATTAATGCTTTGCTAWCTCGACAGYGTRCACCCRGAGTTCTGGGAACAGACCGSATCAGTGATAGACGAGAAAAAAGAACGACTATGGAACGGGCTACTTCTTGGTTTTGAGAAATATCTGAATGTCTTGACAGAAAGAGCAGGATTAATACAAGAAACGGACGCACTTCGGCAACAGGTGGGTGGCTTTGAGTGCTTATGCACGGGTGATCAGGGCAAGCTTTGATATGCACACTTAGCGGCAAAAGATAGTTGTACAAAGCGACCTAACTAAATTTTAAATAAAAACAAGTCCGTACATGAAAAAGTAGCCCAACATATTGCAGGAACTTTCAAAGGAGCACGGAAATATTTCGTTATCATGCATGCGCAAGCGATATCTTTGACGGTCATCCGCGCATCTCGAAAACCCAAACCTGTTCGCTTTAATTTTAACTTGCTGTTGTTTTTTCGCTTATAGAATGCTGAGTTACGAATGCTGCTTCACCAATACGTTAATTCAAGGGTATGTTGTAAAATCATTTTTACGTTAATATTGAGAATACTTTAGCTGATATTCACTCTTTCTGAAAGCGCACGACTTGTGATGAAGTGTTGTTTCAAGCTGACCGGCGCGCGCGCGGCAAAAAATTACAAAAGCGCGGGAAAAAGGAAAATGAATTAGAAAAGTTCAAATGTCAGGGGAAAATGTTGACTTCGTTTTCCACAGCCAGCCCACTCCATACTTGCTTGATTTTATGCAATTGCTGTCTATATTTGTTTTATTTAGTAATTCTTCAATATATTGAAGAATAAATAAAAAGATTAAGTTCATCTTTCATTTGGTCAAATGAAATCAAGATGAAATTAATATCAAAGTCTTGCAAGGCCAAAATACTCAATATATCAAAGAATAAATAAAAAGACTCCAAAGAGAAAGAAAAAAAAACTCAAGCTCGCACATTATTGTTTGATTCTTAGCGCATGGTTTGCATTTGTGGATTACCTGTGGTGCACGTCATAACAATCTTTTTCTTACAAATTGTAGGTCAACCAAGAGCTAGAAATTCCACCAACTAAAATATTACAAGCAGAACTGTCCAAGGAAGCCTCGTGATTTTGGTTTTATTATTCAGGAATTCTTAGAATCCACTGCGGATATTTTCTATGTACATAATCTGTTTTATAAAATTATTAAAACTATTCACTGAACAGAAGGAACTTAAAAACTTTTTATGGAAAAGATGCTTTCCTGTTGATTAACAAATTTCCACATCTTGTCCTTGAAAATACTCTCTCCATTCCCTCACTGCCTCCAATTCCTGAGAGGTCCTGATACTGTGTACCTATCCCCATTCCCTCTCTGTCCATATTCTCCCAGAGGGCCTGATTTTACTAACTTCCTCTCAGCATTCCCCCCTGTGCCAATATATCGACAACCATAGATTATAATTATATTATCAATGCCATTTTATTTTGTATTTGCTATTGGCAATTAATAATTTGTTACAAATAATTTACAGATTATTATTTCCTATGTGACCATGAAAAGTTGACATTTTACTGTCCAAAATACATCTAGCTATTATCCATTTATCATGCATTTATGAGTGCAGTGCCTTCTTTTCTATATATTATGAATCTAATGGACAGGGAAATATTTTTCTTATCAAGAAATGGAACTTTTTACTAGCCTAAAACCATTAATGGTGTGCCATTCACAGTCCTTCAGGTAATAGATGCCTGCTAGAGCTGTTAGTTACACATAACATCTGAAAGGCTATATGTTGGCATATAAATACTATTGTATCTCAATAAAAACAAAGGAAAACAACAACAAAAATATGATACTGCCAACTAGCAGTCTACTACGCATTTCGCAGGTTTAGTGGTTAACTTGTGACTAAATATTATGCAGGATTTTAACTGTGCTTAGTGCCAAGAATATAGTCATTAGTCAAATCCCTCTGAGAACACCTTGATGAATTAAATAAAAGACTCGACATCTGTGGACAAGATGCTCTTGGGTTTTGGAATTAGTGCTAATTGGAATKCTAGTTAGTGCTAGTTTTGGAATGTCTGTGACTTGACAGACAAGATATGATTGAACCRTGTGAATATTGGCTCTAACTAGACGTGTTTAGCTTATGAATTCAGTGGCTCAAAATCCTATGAACACATTACAGCAGARACCATTGCATTGTGACTTCAATGTTCAAGGGAAATTATTGGGATTTAGGTTTTWCTTTGGCWTTGGGCTGGAGCTTGATACWAATCAGCTAATGAMTGAAAGGTTTACAAAAAAGCTCCGTCCCTCAGATCAAAGGAAAGMATAAAAGCCAGACAAACTTTAAAATGRAGAAGTCTCGATGCAAAGATTTCYGATGCAAGTCACATTGTGTAAATCAGCCTATTTTCATAGTCTCCTTCATAATTCCCTGTATTTATTTGAAATTTAAGTAGGCATAGTGAGATAGTTGACATAGTATCTCACTTACCCATAAACAGGCTTACTAGTCATCTCACATACATGAAAATGCTAATAAGGTTAATAATACCTTGCTTTCGAGGTTAAAGGATCTGTGAAGAATACTATTCAATAGGCCTTTTTGCATGAAACAATCACATGATACAAAATCTGCCAAAATAAATGGCAAAAAAATGTAAGCAACCTCAAAAAACAAAAGGAACATAGCCCATCAAGCTTGTCGTTTCTTTGTTTTGAACAACCCAATCGGTTGCCATTCAGTATGGTGGATTTAGTACCATGTGACCGTTTCATGCAAAAAAGCCTATTCTATCCAATCTGAGCTAGAATATGCAGAGAAAAAAGAATACTAGTTTGACTGGTTGTCCCAAGCAAGAATAATTTCTGCATTTCAGATTGGATAAAATCTGGGTTTTTTTTAATGTGTATATTTTACTGTCTGGATTGTTATCCACTTCATTTAAACATGCATTGCTGAAAGGTTTTGAAGAAAGAGGTGCATTTTATATTATAAGGCAATGATAACACCAACAATAACATTGCTGTCTGCACTGAATTCTTCCTAAAAAACAGACAGGGGTTGTCATTTATAAATATGATATCCTGCTGTTATTGCCATTGTTTTTGTCAATTATATCTATTATTCATTAATTATTGATATCTTTAGTGTTATTAAATTTATTTTCTTTGTAGAAAGAAGACATTATAAAGCCTGTGAAACAAAATTTGACTATTAAAGAGCGATAGTCAAATAGACGCAAAAGAAAACAATGCCATTTATAGTGCAGTGCTAAGGCGTGTGAGTGTAAAATCTAGTATTTCACTTGCTTTTGACTTCACTCTATCATAATGTAGTTAGAACTTAGAATGTTTTAAAACTTTTCATAACACTTCCCCTTACTAACTTATTATTGATCTAACTTTTATTAGCTAAGTTTGTTCATCTAAGTTTTCAATAACAACATCTACAACAGCATGAGAAACAACCACAATTGACTCATAGAGAATATCATCTCCTACTGAAGAGCTTGTCCATGGATTTTTATCTATTTGATAACATCCTTTGTTGTCTCATAAACATGTCCTGTTGTGCACTCCATGGCATAGTAGATGCGTACTTAATACTACTATGTTATGACGATTGTTTATTGCAGTCTTGTCCTTATAATATATTATTACCACTATCTGACCAAGGAGAAGCTTGAATTAGCATTATACGACACAACGCTGATCGTGTTATCTTTTGGTAAATAYTGTCCTTGGTTTTCTGTTCCAAACAAACTGTGATAAAAGCCATCTTCATCAAACTGAAAGTAAACAGATCCACATTTAAAGGCATGAACTGTGAATGACTTAATGGATTTTGAAAATTTATTCAAAATCCATTAAAAAGAAAAGAAAAGGGAAAAGGGAAAAGGGAAAAGGGAAAGAAGAGGGATGGATTGAGAAGAAGAATGAATAATCCAATAAACAGATGGATTCATCTTTTAAAATGATCAATAAATGAATGATAGAATAATGAGATGTGGGAATGAATGGTTTGAATAAATGAATGTTTCCTAATGAATGGAAGAATGAATAAATGAAATATAATGACAAAGAATAAAAGGATAAAATATTTAAATGAAAGAATATGGATATTTATTGAAATAAATCAACCAGACAGTAAATAATTGGATAAATAAATATGCACAAGTGAACAAGTCAGGAAATGGTGGGCAAGCTGTTCAAATATGAAGTGGCAGATCCTTAATATTGAGTATTGGCAAACACTTCAMCTCATTGGACCACCACCAGCCAGACTTAACYGAGAACTCCTTGAATACGAAGTGAAGTCATGAGTATAGTTCTAGTTAATTGTCGATGGAGAATAATCTTGGTCTATGTTTTTATCATAAAGTTATAGTATTCCATGTTATTATAGTTATTCAAAATTTCAAAGTTGATTTGCTTTTTAATTTAGTATATGGTCTTGTCTTGCTATTTGTTGTTTACCTGTGCTGTAGGTTATTTCAACATGTGTTTCCATTAATTCATTAGGAATAAAGTTAAGTAATGAAGTTCAATGAAAAGAAACGTTTCTTTTCTCCCTTATGTTTGTTGGGGATATATACATGTATACATGTGTACAACAAGAAACGAAAAAGATCCAAATAGATGAATGTAAATTTGTGGCCCATAACTATTCAAGGAATTTCAAGAATATTTTTTCTTTATTGCATAATTTGCATTTTAACTCTTTTCCTGACTTTTTATACAGTTAATTTTTTCGAATCATTTTTATTCATTACGAATTCAAAACCATYCATTTTGCTGTGTKTTAAAGGTTARGACGATTTCTGAAGTTTTCCATGTTTTGTTGTGGTGCTGTGATCAAAGTAAAAGTAAAATCCAAAACAAATATTTCATAAAAAAGGGATCGATTTTAAGATTATTGCAAGTTTTTGAGCAGAGAATATCTTTAAAAGCAGGTGAATGGTTTCGTGTTATTCAAAACGAGATTAACGTTGTTTTGAAAACATTTTAACGMGTTAAATCTATCTCCACAACAACTTAATCCAAAATACGTGGAAGTAACACTCGAACAACATTCCCTTGACGCTTTCGAAATACCTACATGGATTTACCCAAAATCACAAATCTTACTCTTGTAACATAAAAATAACATAGAACTATATAAAAAGTTATCATTTTAACTAGAAATACGTATTTTACTCACTTGCATTCGCCAGAAAGTCAATGATGAATGTAGAAATATTAATCCCAAAGCGAAACTCGATACGAAGAGTACGAAGAAATGAAGCAAAACCAGACGATCTATGTGTCTAAAACGGAAAGAAACACAGCTGATTGTTAGACAGAGAATCCAATATTGTTTCCAAGTGCTTTTTTACTCACTTAGACTTTTCTACTGTTGATTCTGAGTAGCTGTTTGATGGTGGTTCGTTTTTCTTTTCTCCTCCTTCCGCCATTTTGATATTACGTCTAGTTAGTTAGTTTACTAAATTCGGTACCATGACTTAGTGGGATCTGATTGGTTGGAAGACAAAAGATTGGTAAGTAGCCAATCAACGCTCTCAAAAAGACAAAAGCAAAACTTGATCAGAAAACTTGAAATGAAAAAATAACACGAAATAAAAGGAAAAACTAGAAAATGCAAAATTTAGAGAAAGACGAAAACGCGAARGAATGTAACACATAGCGTAAAAAAGAATCTATGCAAAAGCAATGTTATCTTTACCACTTATGATCATATAAGATTGGTACTCAAATTTGGACAAAAATACGCCATTTTTCAATGTTTTTGAATAAAAATATGCAGATAATTTATCAAACTATACAACATTAGAACATAAAAAATATTTTCAGATTTATTAATAAATGATTTGTTAATTCGTTTATTTATTTTTTAATAAAAATAGCATATTTGATTTTGGGTATAAAACAGCTTTTTCAAAAGTAAGAATAAGTTGATAATGATTTGATTATCATCCTGCCTCTTTTTGTTATTTTGTTATTTTGTTTTTTTGTTCCTCCTAGTGATAAAAACGTAAGCTGCCCACGGGCTTCCTGTGGWATAGAAGCTCTAGTGCCAAGACCTCACTCGGTCTGTTGCTATGACAAGGCGAAGGCGTACTTAGCAACAGTGATTTCTGAATGAGAACAAAATAGTTTTAGACAGAACAGCAAACAAATCMAACAARTCATGGAAGAACAAGAGAGAAACACAGAAGAAAAGCCCCAAAATACAGGTACGTTAACTGTTGACTTGCTCAAAACCGTACTTGTCCACAGCGCACCAAACGAGGGAAAACTCATGCTCTTTTTTACAGCTTCCTCCAGTAGAATCGACGAATTATCAAGGCCTAAACCAATTCCAACTGGATTCTTAGACGACCGGTGAGATTAAACTTAAACCTTCTTATAAATCACTATTTATAACATTTAGAAGCAATTCTCTTTCTAAATATGTACGTCCTTTGCTCGATAATCGAGAAGATTGCTTTGAACAACAGCTTGAAAATCGAATGTTTTTGCACGTGAACTCAGCTAAAAACAATGCCTTATAAGCAAAACATGGCAAAATAGGGTCAAAATTGCATGAGCAAAGGCTATTCTTTAGTTTAAAAACTAAAAGTGGGTTTTATAAGGTTTTGTATGGGGAATAAGCTCAGTTTTGATAACAGTCAARAGCATCAAAATTATAAACTTTCAAACGCTGACCGTACAATGCAGTGTCAGGCATCGATGCAATATTCAAATTTCAAACATGTAGACTTGATTAAAGCTGTGTTACTTGATAGAATAGACAAGCCACAGAATACTGATATCATTGTTTTATTCCGTTAAAATCCTCGTTCTTAAATCGATAAAACACAAGAATTTCTTAGTGTCGTTGCCACCACTGTTTGCGTGACTGCGTGACATGTTTCACATATCACACTGTCACATGATAGTTAAAAAGATCTCAGATTTCATTATGTTACGATATGGAATAATAATGTGATTGGCCTAAAGATGTCAATAGCTGTTTCATTTTAAAATCTGTCATGCAGTAGAATTTGTTTACAATAGGTTTTTTAAAAGCCTTTGTCACAGCTGGGTGACTTCGTGTGGCATAAGGTTGTAACTTTGATGTCCCATTTCAGGCGATCGGTGTATTGGGATAATAATCTTGCCAAAGACTGGTCAGGTCCAGTAGAACCTACAAAGCAAGGTAAGAGACATGCTCGCAAGCGAGCTGTATTACTAGTCAATCGCATGAAGTGCTTGTGCAATGCAAAAAATGATGTGGCTTGATACAGGTTCATTACACAGTGACAACAAAATTAAATTGACAAGGGGTAAGATGGGTAACACTGTGGAGGGATGTCGAGTCTACAGCTCTCGACAAAATTTTTGTGAACACCCCAACTCCCCAGTTTGGAAATCTCGCAAAGAAACACAGACTGACAAGATTAGAACCAACTTTGAAAGAGGGGTGGGGGGATGATATCGCAGATACATGTTCAAATATTTTTGTCGAGGGCTGTATGCACCTCCAACTAGATACTCCTAGACATGGTTTTTAATATTTGCAATGGGTTTGAAAAATTGCATGATCGAAACAAGATTAACACTCAGTTTATCAACATTTTCACAGCTGTTACCGCAAGACAAGAAGAACTATCCCAAAGTAAAAACATCCATAAAGATTACCTTGGCGACAGGTATCGTACTAACTATTGTTTACTTAATTATGATTGACAGACTRATTCATTGAGTGACAGGTTGATTAAGGGGACGTTCATTTTTTATCGAAAAATCTGGAAGCGTGTGGTTTTTAAAACTTTCTCCAAAAACAAAACATGCCCCCACCCACCCCCTCCAGTTGGATACAATTTTTTTCAAATGATCCACCCCCTTGACCATATCTTATTTGACACGACCCCCACCACTCTCTTGATTTTGCATGCCCTCCTCTTACATGGTCTCTGCTTGGTTATCCAGCCTCAAATCCACTAGACCCCCCTCCCCCTTCCCCCTGATATAAAAAATGAACAGTCCTAATATAATAAAATGACTAATTAAATGATCACATGGATCATCTGACAAACCATTATATATTTTATTTGAATTCACATTAGGCCAACCCCCATATGGACAGTTAGTGACGCTGCAAAGAGTGCCTCGGCTAGTTCTCGTGTCGAAACGCTATCTGAAGCAAAACCTCTACATCGTGACTACGCTCCTTGTAAACAAGTACAGAGTATTGTCAGCGAGGGAGCAAAGAACGCAGAGGCGTCAGCACGAATAGAAACACTTGCTAAACCTAAGACCTTTGCTCCTTTAAAGATCAAGGAAAATAGTGAGTGGGACTGGGGCGAGTGGGAATCAGACCTCACCGAAGCAGCCAAGAAAGCAACTGCTTCAGATCGAGTTGTTACCCTGTCAAATCCAAAGGAGCCTCATAGAAGCTACAAAGARGGACGCCCTGTAATATGGGAGGTCTCAGAAGCAGCGAAAAAGTCTCTTCCATCTTTAAGAATTCAACAACTGGCCAGACCCAAAAGCCGAAGCCAATACAATGAAGTTTACGATGTAAATGCTTGGAAAGTGTCAGCCGGGGCTAAAGTTGCCCAAGCAACGCCGAGAATAGCTGAACTCGCAGCACCTTTACCACGAAAACTACGAGCAAAGAAAGTTGCGTGACACTTTGCGTGACTGAAAATTAGTCAATCATTTTTTTTTTTTCAATGAGAATTTCAAGAACTTTTCATTTATCTTATTTGAAAAATGGATATATTTGGAAAAATTATAACAACGTATCAAGACAGAAGGAATGTGTGAACGAGTTCAAAATTAAAACTGATCACTTTTTCTATAAACAATGTTGATTTTTTTTTGTAAAAAAAAAAAAACTTTTCATTGCTTTAATGCAATTAGATAAAAAAATCGATGATTTTTCCTCCCCTTGGAATAGTACATCCAATTAGACGCAATTTAAGCAAGTTACATGGGCAACAGACCACTTAAGATCGTCATTTCGGGGACCCTTTGCATATAGTTTAGTCCATGGCCATTAATGGAAAATCGATGATTTTTAGCAATCTTGACGGGCTATAGTCCATGAATTTTGATGGCAAATCCATGATTTTTGGCGTAGTTACTAAAACGAGGAACGACCTACAACGACCTACAACGATCTACAACCACCTACAACGATCTACAACCACCTACAAACACCTACAACAACCTACAACGATCTACAACCACCTACAACGATCTACAACCACCTACAACGATCTACAACCACCTACAACCACCTACAACGACCAATAAAAATCTACAATGACCAAGAATGATCAATAAAAATGTACAATAACCAACGATTAAGCGTTATAACTGCAAGAAACAAGTGAATTTATTTTCGAGTCCACCTCGTTCTGATTTATGCAGTTAGACGCTGTTTGGTTATTTGAATTAAAGCTTGACTTACCTAAAATAATACAGTAACTCCTCTGAAGTATAAAAAAGAAGTATTCTCGTA